CACAATACACATTTACATATACATGTATACGTACATATCATATCTTGAATGTGTCAAGTTTGCAGTGGCTTCTGGTCAGAGATCTTAAAAAATCAAAAATCTTGTTTGTTCCAACAACTTCTAAATATTAATAATTCATGTTTATTCGAAATATTTGGAGACTAAAACAAAAATTTTTTCGGAAAGACAAGAGATGTTGCAAATAAGAATCATTCATTGAACATAATTCATATTTTATGACACTTCTATGCTAAGAACAACCATGAGTGCGTACTAACATGTACTTTCAATGTTCATCAACATGTTAATTGTAATATTATTTTAATTTTGTATGTTATCCGCGTAAATAGAATTTATCAATATATTTATTTTATTATATTCACGCATATCGGATCTATTTTATATTTTATCCATGAATACGAGTCGAGCGAATCATAAGAGAGAGAGAGAGAGAGAAAGAGAGAGAGATCGTTGATACTGCATCTTTCGAATGTGTATTCAACACTGTATCCAATTAGATAAGTGAATTCCTCGGGAAATGCGAGTCAACGCTACAAGCGAAGAAGTGTTCTATTTTTATTACAAGGAACCGCGTTTTCAATTATTACTATAATATATAAATTGTAATTGATACTAAAAATAGTCACTAGAAAATTTTCGTAAGGATCTTTGAAGATTAGCGTAACAGCGAGATTCGACTTTTTTGCATCCTGATTAGTGCAAACAATTAGGTATATATCACATTCATACGATGTATGCATTATTCGACATAAATCTTTCTCCATCTAAAAATTTAATCACATTAAAAGATATGCCAAAGAAATCTAACACTCTTATAAATAGCCCTTGATAGAATTTTCCAAGAGAAAGAATTATCGAAGAGAAGTTATTAAATGCATAAATTAATTCAGTGCTTTCTTTTAAAAAATTTAAATTTGTAGATGATCTGATATAAATTTAATTAGAAAAATATTCCCTATTATTTTCTATAATTTTAGTTTATTTTCCAATCAGCTATTATATTCTAACGAAAAAGAGACAACAATTTTAATCGGAACACGTAAATTTAAAGGCACCGAATTAATTTACACTATTTACACTATATGCTCATTACTTATATGTTTTCTTGTAATATCTTAAACAGTGTTACATGGTCGTTATCGTTACAGTATTAGATTACTATAAAACACAAGAATTTGTTTCATACAAACATTATTATATTTTCTGCTTGATTACATCGGAATGTAAAGGGTCGACACGAATTTGTACGCGCGTTAGTTATAAATATAAATTAGTAACTTTAAGCTGTATAGACATATACCTTAAAAAACTTTGATATACGTGCTACTCTATCGTCGTAATCTTTTTATAGAAAATTGCAATTAATGATTATTTTTTTATATCATTTGCACTATGGAAAGGCACTATGAAATTGCACTATTTATACATATATATTATGTATAATATATGTATGTATGTTATATATATGTGTGTATATGTATATATATATATATATATGCATTTTATAAATTATACATTAACATATATATATATATATATATATATATATATATATATATATATGCGCTTTTGGAATTAAAATTCCTACAAATTTACTCTGAGATTTATTTTAGAAGTTGACGAGTCGAACATTCGACGTTTAATTCCTTTCTGTAAAAAAAAATCTTTATAAGCCAGAAAAGAAAGGCAAAGATTAAAAAGATGAATTGTCTGATTGCTCTTATTTCAGGATACGCCAACGCGAAGATTTACGAATGCGAAAATCCGAAATGTCCCCGACCTGGACGGTACATATCTGGTGGATCCAGTAAGGACGATTCCTTCCCCTGCTTGCGTCCGGTGTGTCCAGGTAGATTCCAATTGGTTCGACATGTCTCCTTCGTTGATTGCCCTGGACACGATATTCTTATGGCGACTATGCTTAACGGAGCCGCCGTTATGGATGCCGCCTTGCTTTTAATTGGTAAATATATGATATATATTTTTACATTGTACCGAATTTATTTCTTTTTCCAAAGTATGCTGTTAATATCACATGGATTCCCGAAGTGGACTTTCAGGACTAATCCTCTCTCATATTCCATTTTAATCATTAATCTTCCAATCAATCTCTCATAAAATCGAATATCTATTCTCCTAATATGGATTAATTTTAATTGTTTTATCTTTTTTTTTATTTTTATTTTTTTATTATAGGAATTAGAAAACGAGATTACGTTGCTAGAAATAGATATAAGAATAAGGAATCGATTGATTTACAATCGGAGTTGACTCTCATGTGTCATCTATCATTCATCTTTTATATATATCCGGTTGTTTTGGCATCTTTGCGTTGCTTTCCGGGTATTCTTGCATATATCTGTATATGCGCGTGTTATTAACATGGATATATGGAATCTACAGTGTTACGGTTCCGAATGGTCAGAGATTTTTTTCGGCAAAGTTACTAGGCGGTTTGTCCGACCTTCATACAAGAGAGTCGTCGAACCCGGGATTTTTGACTTACAAGCCTCGTGCTAACTCGTAGAGCCACAACGCGATCTCGTTCATCTTTTTCCAAAATAAAAAGCTGAATTTTACTGAATTGTAGCTGGTAACGAATCATGCCCGCAACCTCAGACATCGGAGCACTTGGCAGCTATCGAAATTATGAAATTGAAGCACATAGTCATCTTGCAAAACAAGATCGACTTGGTTAAAGAAGCGCAAGCTAAGGAGCAGTATGAGCAAATCTTGAAGTTCATTCAAGGTATTAGATTATTATTTGACTTTATTGGTATTATTTCAACATAAAATGACATACGTATACATATACGCGTATTTACTTATATAATTTCTTTTAAAGGTACGGTTGCGGAAGGCGCCCCAATAATTCCGATTTCGGCGCAATTGAAATATAACATCGAGGTATTGTGTGAGTACATCACCAAGAAAATTCCAGTGCCAATGAGAGATTTTACATCGGAGCCTCGATTGATCGTTATCCGATCTTTCGACGTAAATAAACCGGGTTGCGAAGTGGACGATTTGAAAGGCGGTGTCGCTGGTGGTAGTATTCTTCGAGGAGTACTGAAAGTATGAGCTAGTTCACAAATCAGATTAAAGCGTATTATAAATACTATATTATAAATACTATTTTTATCTCTCATAGGTCGGCATGGAAATTGAAGTTCGACCAGGATTAGTGTCCAAGGATAGCGAAGGCAAATTGACTTGTCGTCCGATATTCTCGCGCATCGTGTCTCTATTCGCCGAACAGAATGAATTGCAATTTGCTGTACCTGGTGGTCTAATTGGTAAATAATATTAGTTGTGGATATTTCTTATGGTTTTAACATGTAGACAAGAACTTCATAATTTTTATAGATTATGAAGAATTTTAATAGATTATGGTGACCAAATTGATTTAAGATTATGATTTTTAGGTGTCGGTACCAAGATTGAGCCTACTCTGTGCCGTGCTGATCGTCTAGTCGGACAGATTCTTGGAAGTGTTGGTGCACTGCCACAGATATTTATCGAGCTGGAAATCTCGTATTATTTATTGAAACGTTTATTAGGCGTCAGAACCGAGGGCGACAAAAAGGGCGCGAGGGTAAGTCCGTTTGCAGCATTTTACATAATCTTAAAGATATACATTGTAGTAGCAAAAATTTGTGTGATTAGTTTATTTTTAATCGATATTGTAAACAATATTGCAAAAAATTTGAAACTAAAGAATACTTTATCATTTTATTTTCTGTATGATGTATTAATTATGTAAATTTATGTATAGTTCATAATTAAGTTTACTTTATTCTTTTTCTCGAAGTTATTTTTACTCCAAAATTAAATTTCAATTTTCTTATTACTCATATGAATATCTCGACGGCAGGTACCAAAGTTATCAAGAGGAGAAGTATTGTTAGTAAATATCGGATCATTGAGTACCGGTGGTAGAGTACTGGCTACTCGTGCTGATTTGGCAAAGATCAGCTTGACAAATCCAGTATGTACGGAGATTGAAGAGAAAATTGCATTATCTAGGCGAGTGGAGAAACACTGGCGCTTGATTGGTTGGGGACAGATTTGTGGCGGACAAACGATAGATCCTATTCTGGATCGGAAGTAACTGCGATATTTGGAATTTAGCTTTCATCAAAACTATGATTTCTACAATTTGTCCGCAGCGCCACGATCGGCCTTGTGTATGCAATATTTGTAATAAAAATTTGAACCTAATCCTGTTTAAATTAATTCCAAGATCCTTTTAAAGCTTCTGCTGGTTCATTTCTATCGGATAAAAACATTATTTTCGATAAACATCGATATATCGATAAATATTTCTATTTTAATGTATTGTGCAAGAATTTTTATTACGTTTTCTCGCTTGTGACATCATAATTTAAGCGGTAACGTACGATAAAGTAGTAAGAATCTTAAATAAATTACACAAGGTTTAGATAAACATTACAAATTTAATATATAATTCAACTAAACAGAATAAAATCAAATACTGCAGCACCAAACTTTGAAGTAAGATCTTTTTTTGCCGAGCATCATCAAGTGGTAACTTTTAGTGTGCTTTCAAAAAATCTGTCCATTTAGGTTATATGATACAGGTTCACTTCTTCACTTTTAACCGAATATTTATGCTTTTTAATTTTTTTTTTATTAAAAAATTATGAGAGTATATCTCAAATACGTTGAGTCTAGATCTGAATTTTCTTCCATCGATTATTAATCGGCTCTAGACATTGTCACCGTGACCGTGTCACCTTTTCAAAGACACACGCAATAACATGCAATAATATGATTACAGATTTCTACAAACTTTGTTTACATTTATTTTCTATCGTGATCGTGAGATTCTTGTTCAGGTGACCGCAATTATAATCGGCAGTTGGAAACGATCGACGAAAATATAACGTAACATTATGCAGCCACAGTGCCAAACAATGAATGCATTAGCAGACATCATCAAGGCAAAGGAGGATGTGTCGATTGATCTCTGTAGCATGAAGAATTTAGAATTAGAGGTTTCTTTCTTTATTTTTAAAAATTTCATTTTGCTAATCTGCAATATTTTGACAATTTATTCGCGAATTTTATGAGAAAAGGAAAGGATCTAAAGATTTAAATTAGAAAAAAATTAGAAAAAAAAATGTGCGCAAAATCGTTCTTTTTATAAAATAAAATATGTAAAAACCATTGACTTTTCAATTGTGGAACATACTGTGTTTCAAGATGTTTTTAAGATTTGCAAAAATTTTTATTCTTTTTTTTTTAAATTAATGTTTCGAAAATATTGTAAGAAATATATTTACAAGTTGGTCCTAATTTTTTACTGTTGAGTAAATATGTAACATTTCAAAATATAAATCATCTTATTAAATAAAATCTAACTCTCTGTTAGAATTTTATAGAAGTATTTTCTTTATCTCTAAGTGAGATCATTAAACTCTAATTTGTAGGTGCTACGTTATCTTTATCGAAATGTCAAAGATGAAAATTATCATCAGATCGGACATACTTATATGCGCTTGTTATCTCCATTTCATCCTGACAAAAATGATGTCAGAGCGGCAGACTGGCTATTTGTATTAAACACATTGAATTCTGGTTCATTCTGGTTACCAAACAATGAAACATGGACAGTTCATGGATTAACTGGCTATATGGCATTGTGCGCTGCTATTAAAAGAGCCATTGACGTGAGTATACACACATTCGATGTTATGTTAACATCACTAAATATTATATATTTTTTATCTCTTTATCGATACATAGCAATATATTTTTGAATATAATTTAATGTATTAATGTTGATTATTTATTGTTCTTTATATATCACTGGTCTTTTAACGTTGATTTTGATAATATGAAGATTACTTTTGTCTTTGTTGGTATAATTTTCAATTATGTCTATAATGTCTTATGTCTTCATATTATAAAAAATTTTGTTTACTAATGAATCTCTGCTAACAATGTCCATGACCACATTTTATTTTCTTATTGTGACTTCTTGTGTAATATGCTTTGATTTCTGTGTTTTATTCTGATATTTATCATCACTTATATCCATCTATTGTTCGAAATAATTTTTATTAAAATTTAAAACCAATGTAAATTGAAAACTTTATTAAAATTTAAAGTCAATGTAAATTGAAAACTTTTCATACCATGTGTTTCTTCTGCTTCATGAATTTCGACGAAAAATTAATTGAATTTTGCAAGTTACTTTTTATTTCACTTTCTTCTCCATCCTATAATGTAATTAAAAGAAAACATTTAGTATAAAAGACAATTGTTCTTATTCAAGAGATTTCATTACCTTAATGCTACTAAATGCTTTAAGGCATTTCTTGCAGCAAATAAGTTCCCTTCCGTCCGGGAGACGTCTCTTTATATAACAACTGGTAAACAGCTTAGCATTATCCAAAAGTTCTGTATAGAGAGAATTTCATTATAGATAATAAAATTTGATCTTTCGATTCATTTAAACAATTATACATTTATTTAATTGATAATTCTATAATTGAAAACGTGATATTATTTCTTTAATCTATTTTCATGGTATTACTTTGCATTTTTGCCGTTTCTTTATCTATTTTAGTATTATATTCCTCTATGAATTTTTTACGGCGAGCTTCTATCCGCTGCAACAATATTTTTTGTTTTGCAATATCCTTCTCTTGGAACTCCTGCTTTCTTCGCCATCTGAGGAATCCGCCAATAATAGTAATTCTTTCAGATTATTCTTGCTTACAGTGTACAGGAATTACTAAATTAAATCACGCACATTGAAAATACCGTAACGGGCCATTCTCTAAATAATATATACCTTTCTTCCACGTCCTTTTGCTTTTGTTGTTCGACATCCATCAATCGCTTCTCCTTGGCTTTTTGTCGTGCTTTATCCTTCTTTTTCCAATCTATTACAACATCAATCATTTTTCGTCGGACAATCTCCGTTGCAATTTTACATTTTTGCCGAATTTGCTCAGCCCGCTTCTCACGCTTAATATTTATCAGTCTTCGTTCTTCCTGCTTAATGCATTTTAACAGTTTCAATCTTTGCGCCCGTTTCTTTTGTTTCTGCATTTTTAGTTCCTCCTTCAGCAATCGCTGCTGCATTCGACGCTGTCTACAGTTGACAAATTTCTCTCTTCCCTTTAATCTGTTATTTATAAGAAAGAAAATACTCCGTTAATATATTCATATATACGGAAATACATGGTAGAACCTTTTGCTGACAAATCCAAAAATTTGGCCAAATATAAATCTGAAGATAATTTTGTTGTTATCAGAATAATAATTATATAGAACGTTCAAATTACTAGAATATCAAACATTTTGACAATGTAACATCATACTTGAGCATTCTGCATAACAATTTTGATGGTCCAAATTATTTTCAAATCTGTATCTGATTTAATTTTGAAATACTTCAGCGAAATTATTTTTTTCTGTGTATCGCGAAATTATACCTTTCCACTTCCTTGCGCGCTTGCTCTTCGGCGAAACGTAGATCTCTCCTCTCGTCGAAGAGACGATCTTCTCTTCTCATCTCCCTCTTGATACGGTCGGCGTGTACCTTTCTCAGATATTTCCTGTACGCGTTGTAATCACGCAACGAACACTTGACGTCCATGCCATCCGTGATTAGATCGGCCTTCAATAGACACTTGAGATTTATCGGCTTGGAGAAGAACTCGAGCAAATGCTCGTCGTGCAGAGGTTCGTAAGAGAATCTGGTCTCGTGGCAATAAGGATCGCTCAAATCGAACGGCAATCTCGGCCTCTCCATCGTCCACAGTTTCCTTCCTATCTTGCGCCGAGTGAAGCTGTAAACATTCTTCGGTCCAGGTATCATGGGTATCTTGTGCTCCAGAGGCATCATCTTCCATCCTGGTAGACCGAACTCGGGCACGGCGCCCTTCGGTTTGGGAATCGTCTCGGCGAATCGTTCTAAGTTCCTGTTCCAATGAGTAATCCTTAACTTGGAACATAAATCTATTATCATTTGTATTTGTATATATATTTTACATACACGCAATATGAATATAATATACAAATATATATATTTCTTATGGAAAATTTGATAATCCATGTACATTGTCATATGAAAACAAATCGAAAGAAATAATAAAATAAGAAATAACCAAATCTTATAGATAAATAGTGTAGATTTAACGTTTTTAACTTTTATCTTTATACCGCATTAGATTTTTTAATCATATTTGTGCGGTTTATCTTGTAAATGCGAATTGATCTACTAATATAT